AGCGTTTGAGCTCTGATAAGGGACAGACTGCCTCCTCAAGCAGTTCCCTGGCCCCTGTATATCCAAACAGGTGCCTCATAAAGGAGAGCTCTGGCTGACATCTGGCGGGTACCCTTCTGGGATGAAGATACCAGACGAAGGAAGAGGCAGCAACCCTTGCAGTTCTGCAGCCCCTGTGGGTGATTCACAGGCAAGCATGGTCTGCAGTGGACCTCCAGAAGTCCTGCAGCAGAGGGGCCTGTTAGAAGGAAAACTAAAAAATGGAAAGAAATAGCTTCAACATCAACAGAATGGATGTCCACTCAGAGACCCCATCCAAAAGTCACCAACTTCAAAGACCAAAGATAGATAAATCCACAAAGATGGGAAGAAACCAGTGCAAAAAGGATGAATTCACCAAAAACCAGAACGCCTCTCCTCCTCCAAGGAATCACACCCCTCAACAGCAAGGGAATAAAACTGGATAGAGAATGAGTTTGACGAATTGAGAGAAGCAAGCTTCAGAAGGTGGGTAATGACAAACTTCTCTAAGATAAACGAACATGTTTTAACCCAATGAAAAGAAACTTGAAAAAAGGTTAGACAAAATGTTAACTAGAATAACCAGCTTAGAGAAGAACATAAATGACTGGATGGAGCTGAAAAACACAGCACAAGAACTTCGTGAAGCATACGCAAGTTTCAATAGCGAAATTGATCAAGTAGAAGGAAAGATACCAGAGACTGAAGATCAACTCAATGAAATAAAATGAGAAGGCAAAATTAGGAAAAAAAGAGTGAAAAGAAATCAACAAAGCCTCCAAGAAATATGGGATTATGTGAAAAGACCTAATCTACATTTGATCAGTGGACCTGAATGTGACGGGGAGAATGAATCCAAGCTGGAAAATACTCTTCAGGATACCATCCAGGAGAACTTCCCCAACCTAGCAAGGCAGGCCAACTATCAAATACAGGAAACACAGAGACCACCACAAAGATATCCCTCAAGAAGAGCAACCCCAAGGCACATAATCGTCAGATTCACCAGGGTTGAAATGAAGGAAAAAACGCTAAGTGCAGCCAGAGAGAAAGGTTGGGCTACCCACAAAGGGAAGCCCATCAGACTCACAGCGGATCTCTCAGCAGAAACCCTATGAGCCAGAAGAGAGTGGGGGTTAATATTCAACATCCTTAAAAAAAAAAGATCTTCAACCCAGAATTTCATATCCAGCCAATCTAAGCTTCATGAGTGAAGGAGAAATAAAATCCTTTACAAACAAGCAAATGCAGAAAGATTTCATCACCACCAAGCCTGCCTTGCAAGAGCTCCTAAAGGAAGCACTAAACACGGAAAGGAACAACCAGTACCAGCCACTGCAAAAATGTATCAAATGGTAAAGACCATCGACACAATGAAGAAACTGCATCAACTAATGGGCAAAACAATCAGCTAGTCTCAAAATGGCAGGATCAAATTCACACATAATATTAACCTTAAATGTAAATGGGCTACATGCCCCAATCAAAAGCAAAGACTGGCAAATTGGATAAAAAGTCAAGACCCATTGATGTGCTGTATTCAGGAAATCCATCTCACATGCAAAGACATGCACAGACTCAAAACAAAGGATGGAGGATCAAGGCAGGGGTTGCAGTCCTAATCTCCGATAAAACAAACTTCAAACCAACAAAGATCAAAAGAGACAAAGAAGGGCATTACATAATGGTAAAAGGATCAATGCAAAAAGAAGAGTTAATAACCTAAATATATAGGCACCCAGTACAGGAGCACCCACATACATAAAGCAAATTCTTAATGACTTACAAAGAGACTTAGATTCCCACACAGTAATAGTGGAACACTTTAACACCCCACTGTCAATATTAGACAGATCAATAAGACAGAAAATTAACAAGGATATTCAGGACTTGAACTCAGATCTGGACCAAGCAGACCTAACAGACATCTACAGAACTCTCCACCCCAAATCCACAGAATATATATTCTTCTCAGCACCACATTGCACTTACTCTAAAATGGACCACATAGTAGGAAGTAAATCACTCCTCAGCAAATGCAAAAGAAAAGAAATCATAACAACCAGTCTCTCAGACCACAGTGCAATCAAATTGGAACTCAGGATTAAGAAACTCACTCAAAACTGCACTACTACATAAAAACTCAACAACCTGCTTCTGAATGACTATTGGATAAATAATGAAATGAAGGCAGAAATAGACGTTCTTCAAAACCAATGAGAATGAAGACACAACGTACCAAAATGTCTGGGACACATTTAAAGCAGTGTCTAGAGGAATATTTGTAGCACTAAATGCCCATATGAGAAGTGAAGAAAATTGATACCCTATTGTCAAAATTAAAAGAACTAGAGGAGCAAGATCAAACAAATTCAAAAGCTAGCAGAAGACAAGAAATAACTAAGATCAGAGCAGAACTAAAGGAGACAGAGACACAAAACCCTTTCAAAAAATCAATAAATCCAGGAGCTGGTATTTTGAAAAGATCAACAAAATAGATACACTGTTAGCCAGACTAATAAAATAGAAAAGAGAGAATAATTGAATTGATGCAATAAAAATGATAAAAGGACCATCACCACCCATTCCACAGAAATAAAAACTACCATCAGAGATAACTACAAACAACTCTATGCACATAAACCAGTAAGTCTAGAGGAAATGGATAAATTTATGGAGACTTACACCCTCCCAAGACTAAACCAAGAAGAAGCTGAATGCCTGAATAGACCAATAACAAGGTCTGAAGTAGAGGCAGCAATTAATAGTCAACCAACCCAAAAAAGCCCAGGTCCAGACAGGTTCACAGTCGAATTCTACCAGATATATAAAGAGGAGCTGGTACCCTTCTTTCTGAAATTCTTCCAAACAATACAAAAAGAGGGAATCCTCCCTAACTCATTTTATGAGACCAACATCATCCTGATACCAAAACCTGGCAGAGATACAATTAAAAAAGAAAATTTCAGGCCAATATTCACGATGAACATTCATGCAAAATTCTTCAACAAAATACTAGCAAACCAAATGCAACAGCACATTGGGGGATGGAGGCAACAAACCACTATGGCATGTGTATACCTATGTAACAATCCTACGAGGTCTACACATGTAACCCAGAACTTAAAGTAAAATTTAAAAAAAAGAACAGAACATCCAAGAGCTGTAGGAAAATATATAACATTTTTAGGTGTGGGTTTTTACTTTTTATCATGTTTAATACTCCAGGATCCTATTCAATCTTAGGTCTCACATTTTCTCTAATTCTCTGAACTCCTAGGCGATTATTTCCTGAAACATTTCTTCCCCTCTATTTTTACTATCTCTTTCTGAAGGTTCTGTTATATGAATGTTAATCTTTTAATTTTTATTCATCTTTCAATTATGTACACATATTTCTGTGTTGCATAATATTTGTTGCATAATACATTATAACCTCTTTAGCTCTTCCTGTTGCATTCTGAGAATCCGCTGACTGTTGTTCTAGCTCTCACTAATCTGTTATACAGCTAACCAATCCAGCATTCAACCCACTTATTATGTTATTTTAACTAATATATATACACTTCACTTCTAACCTCCAGGTTTTTTGTCTTTTTTTTTTTCTGATTCTTCTTGTTTTTCAGTACTGCAACTTTCCTGGGTTGCACTTCTGATGAATTTAGAAGTGTGACTCTGGGGAGGGAGTGGTCACTCTTCAAAGCAGGTCACTTGTGTGTTAACAATCTGTACCTACTCTGGCACTGTCCTTTTTCTAAGTGTGTTCTCTATTTTTTAATCATCTTGGCATTAAGAGTTGAAATGGGGTGGCAGTAGGAGAAAATATGTTTTTACCTCTCCCAAACCTAGTTAGGCTTCCCTGCCAAAAGGACAATTTGTTGCTTCCACTGGCTGTGCTGTGGTGTGCTAACTGGCAAAGGGATGAACAATAGCCCATTCCGAGTTGAGCGGATAGGAAAAGTATAAACCTAAATGTTTTCTTCCACTTTCTCTCTTATTCATGGCATCCAGGGTTGTTCAGGGTTGCTGCTTCCTCTTGTTGGGATCTAACCATTTTATAGTCACCTCAGGGATTTATAACAATTTCTATATTGGTTTAGTGAGGCCAAAATTGGTTTCAGAGAGAGAATTGGGATCCTGTGCTAATTTGCCATCTTACCAAAAATTGCATAAAACCAGGATCTGAATGTAGGGATTCTGACTCTAGAGATAATACCAATATCTTATCCAAAACACTACATGCTTTACTGAATCTGTATATCCCTCCTTACATGTTTTACTGCTTTTCATGATTATGCCTTTGTGTAGTTACAACTTACACCTGGAATTCTGAAGTTGTTGTTGTTGTTTTTACTATTTCTAACTCTAAGAATCTTTAAAATACAGCAAAAATGGCTGGGCGTGGTGGCTCACACCTGTAATCCCAGCACTTTGAGAGGCCGAGGTGGGTAGATCACAAATTCAGTTCTAGACCACCCTGACCAACATGGTGAAACCCCATCTCTACTAAGAATACAAAAATTAGCTGGGCATGGTGGTGTGTGCCTATAATCCCAGCTACTTGGGAGGCTGGGGCAGGAGAATCACTTGAACTTGGGAGGCGGAGGTTGCAGTCAGCTGAGATTGCACCACTGCACTCCATTTTGGGCAACAAAGTGAGATTTTGTTTCAGAAAAAACAAAAAAACAAAAACAAAAACAAAACAGCAAAAACATTCTTGTTTAATAGAGACCCTCTAATGGTTCTTAACAGTCATTTTTCCTGTGATCCTGCAACACTTATGTATGATACTAATTTACTTCTGATATGTTCCTCTGTAAATGGTTTTTAGTTTGTTCCATGTGTATGCCTGCTGTTGGTCCAAATAGACTAAAAATGCCTGCTCTTCAAGAAATTTTCTAAAATCTAATAGAAGGTGATAAATTGGCATTGGCTAGCTAAGATCTATCATTGATATGACTTAGAGAAGAAAAACTTACTTTGTTCAAATCCTCCATTTTTACCCATGAAGTCAAAGAAAGCATCAAGAATTCTGCAGAGGGTTATGACGATTGTTATGTCTTGCATAGGATATGGTTGAAATTTCTGATGATTCTTTATAAATTGTAGTCCATCTGTAACACTATTTTGAATCATGAATTCAAGACAATCCAATCCTGATGGACATATAATTTTAGAAGTTTTCAAAAGCCATGACTTAATGTAAGGCTCCCATCCCAGATCAACAGGATCCTAATAATAAAAAGGAAAATATAATCTTATATAAATAAATAAAAATATGGTATCCTCCTACTTCTTATTCTCCTTTTACTTCACCACTGCTCCCTGACAAATACAACTTAGAATTATCATTCATTAAAGGGCAAATGATCAAAGTCAGCTTAAGGAATTAACATTCTCTGGAATGATTCATGAGTTCTAATGATGGTCTTAAAAGAAAACAAGCAATTGGGGGATTATGTGTAGGAGGGTGTATTGAGGCTATGTGTATGTGGTGAGGGGAAGTGCTTACCCAGAAGTCAGCCCTATACTTAGATTTATTCATAACATTCAGTTAAGCGGATTAGAGCATCAGGCTAATCACAGCTAATAACTTCATGTTATATTTTGTACTTTCTTCCTACCGACTTCATAATGTGTTTCCCAAGAGTCAGAGTGGGTATGAAAAGACCCCAGGGCCATCTTCCTCTATTGAAAAAATAATTCGTATCAGCAGCCTAACCTGTCTATTTAAATCACTGTTTACTTTCAGTTGTGGAAAATACTGACACTCCAATTACTAAGAGTAGTATTAAAACAGTAATAATTAAATTCACATTCAATTCTGGATTATGAGGCTTTGAGAGACACAGGGATTCAGAACTATTGGGTTCACACTGCTGGATACAAAGGTAAAAATAAAATAAGCATAAAATGCTGTAAAAAATAGTTACTATCATAAACAACATATTTGCATTGTTAAGACATTTGTTTTTGAAAGCTTACCATATAGACCATGGCACATCGACTGACAGTAGCAGGACTGGCGTGAGAGAGACTGTCCACTTCAAAAATCAATCTTATTTTATCAGTTAAAGCTATTCTCTCACTGTTTGCTAGGCACAATGTTCTAGTATTATCTAGCACAGAGTTCAGATTTTCTACCCAAAAGGTGTCCACTGGGCCATCTAAGATAATCCATTGCCAATCAAAATCTGGAAGGAAAAATATTTTTAATATAACAGAGAATAATGTCAGTCTTCTTTCACTACAATCTTGCAAATTTTCTATTTTACTTAGAAAATATTTTCTAAGAGAAAAGATATCCTAGAAAACACTAGAATGAATGTGTTTATATGTAGTCCCTGGTATTTATTTAATATAAATATTCATACTGTATACTTAATAATGATTTTAGCATTGTTTAGACATTCTTAGATTATTGAATTAGATAATTAACCCTTACAATTTGCTTAGGAGAAATAGCTATAATTTTACCTTTTGCATAATAATATGATTCGTAAGTTTTCCCTTCTACCCCAGAATATTTTTTAGATATGTTGCCCCTGGGGAGTAGCAAAGGGAAACAGATGTTCTTTGAAGAAAGAATCTGAGTTTAAAGTATACTGTACTTGGAACCCATTTACTCCTCTTTCTACAGGGTGTTAGTCAATTTGGGCTATTGTAACAAAAAGCCTTAGACTGTGTAGCTTATAAACAACAGAAATTTATGTCTCACAGTTCTGGAGGTTTGAAGTCCAAGTTCACAGCACTAGCAGAGTCCTTGTCTGGTGACGGCTATCTTCCTAGTTCACAGAAGGCCATATTATTTGTCCTCACATGGTGGCAGTGGTGAGGAATTTCTCTTGAGCTTCTTTTTAAGGGCACTAATGCCATTCTTGAGGGCTCTACCCTTGTGACCTAATCAACTCCTCAAGCCTTGCCCCTCACCTCCTAATACCATCTCCTTGGAAGTTAGGATTTCAACACATGGATTTTGGAGGGACACAAACTTTTAGACCATAGCGCACACTCTACACCCACCACTGTGCTCCACAGTTTTAGAAAATTCATTGATCAGGATGCGGGGGTATGAACAGGTCACTATGCAGACAGAAAATAGACAACCACCTAAAAGACATTAAAATATCCCAGAAGAATCCAAGAGCAGAGCTAGGACTCATATAGCCGCTACTGCTAAGAGAGGCTCTGACTAACACCTGCCCTAGGAACTGCCTTAAAGTCCCATGAAAGAAACTAATGGTGCCTAATCACTGTACTCTCCCAAAAATAACACATAAAAATTCAGCACAGTAGAAGCAGAAGCAGAAGTTTCTTTCAGAATCTGGATCATAAATGTACTAATGGTGGATGTGTTGATATGGGGTTCAACCTGGAGTGGGGAAAGCAATGGTCAGTGCTCCTCTAGTAGACTGACAAGGTCATATACACATTTTAGCCCACTGGCACACAGTAAAGTGTCTGGCATATTATAGGTGTGCAGTTCATTTTAGATGGATCTGCTTGGGCTGTGTCCTTTGATCTGGAAAAGTACAAATTGTTTGGAGTCCCACTTCGGAGGCAATACCGGTGGCAAATTGTAGGTTGCTGCTGCTGCTTCTCACATCATTATTTATTTCAACCTTTAATATCTACTTGGTTCTTTTATAAACTGAAGGACTATTTAAGCTATAGTGCTTACATAACGTAATTATATATATATATATATATATATGCACATTGTAATATAATATGTGGTACTATACAAATTTAAAAAAAACATACAAATAAATGGTATAGGAACAAAATATTACCAGTAAAAAACATGTTTAAATATATAAATATAACTCATATTGGTTCAGAATTTTTCTTCTATATTAGTTCTTGAATTTTATAACACTTACTGTTATTTTCTGGAATTTTAACATCTTTCTCTAACTCCTCGAAAATATTATCAGCAGTATCTGTTGTATCAGAAGAATCAAGTTTGAAAACCTAAAATATGTAATCAATAATGTTTAAATTTTTATTTGATAACTTTTCAACTATAATGGACTATATGCCAATATGCTTTCTTGAGTGATAAAAATATAAAAGGAAGAGAGTTCTGTAACTGAAAATACCAACATATAAGCAGCGTAGTCTAATGTAACTGACTTGTTACTATAGTTTATTTACTTTTAGAAAACGATTTTACTTTAATTTCTTTCTCCCCCTGCAAAGACAGTACGTGCTTATTGTAGGATATAAAATAAAACAGAAAAGCACAAAGAAGAAAGCAAAAGTTCCTTGAATTTCTATCGCCTACAGACAATCACCGTAGAAATTTTGGTGTTTATGTTTTCTAGACTTTCCTTCACATCAGTTCTAGAATACATGGTATTACCTGCAATTTGTTAAATTACAGATTGTAACACCTCATCCTTGGAGATTCTAATTGAATACGTTTGGGATGAAGCCCAGAATTTTTCACTTTTAATGAAAATGAAATAATCCTGAGTTATTCTCATATAGACTATTTTTATATCAACCTTTGAGAAATTCTGATGTATGTATATACTTAACTCCTTATTATCTTGAGGTGGGGAGGCTTAATTATTCATCTCTCAAAAAGAGCTGAGTAGTATGTCATCACCTTATTGGCATTGGTTTCCTTAACCTTCAGGAGTAGTCAGGGAGAAAACCAAACAATAGAGCTGTGCTGGGGCACAGTGTAGGTTTTAAAGAGAGAGACAAAGGTGCTTATGTTTCAACCAGGCCCTAGCAATACAGCAACTAGTAATCAGTTCCTACTAATTTCCAGCCTCATCAGAAAGGTAAGCAAGTCCTAGGCTTTTTCCAATTATTATTCCTATTATAAAAGTAATTAACATGCTTGGATATCCATCATTATGCTTTAGTGCATTTCTTTCTCTAAATAAATTGTTTTGGCTTGTAGAGATTGTGGCAGATGGAGGCAGGATTAGATTGAAGCTCCCACTTGGATGGATAGAGAAGCATGTGGAGGCTAACCTCGTGAACTTTTGCTCCAGAACGACTGCAAGAATAAATCAGGAAAGCTGAGAGAACCCACAGACCCTTTGAATGAAGTAGATTGCTCCTGCAGGACTGGGGAGACATCCAAAATACTGTGAATACCCAAACTGTGGAAGTGGCAAAGACAGATCACCTGTCTCTGAACACACACCCTCACTGGGGAACCTGAAGGTCTAGATCATGGAAGAAGATCTGCATGGGTTGTGTGACCTTACCTGGAGCTTAGTCAACTTAGAGAGCTGAGCGAAATACAGGGGTAGAGGAAGCAGCAGGAAAATCCCTGTGGGCTCACTGGGTCCCCTGGCAAGCCATTTCTGCCTTGCCTCACAGGGGTCCTTGGGGAGGGCTGACAAGAGGCACTGGGAAAAGGTCACAGGGAGAAGAAAACCTTCAGCTGAACTTTGTAACAATTTGAACAGATCAGGAAGTCTCATGGCCAGAACTCAGGGGATGGCATGAATCTGGTGTACAGACTCCATAGGTGGAGGAAGCACAAAAGTCCTACTTGATTTTGCAGCTGAGAGGTGGGGCAAGTTCTCAGCCCTGCTCAACCACTGCCTGGCAACAGACTCGGTGCTGTTGTGGGAGGCATGGTGGGAGTGAGATCAGCCCTTTGGGTTGTATGGGAGCTGTGTGAGGCCTGTGACTGCTGGCTTTCCCCAACGTCCCTGACAACCTGCATGACACAAGAGAGGCAGCTATAATCCTCCTAGGAACATAAGTCAATTGACCTGGGAACCATACCCCTATACCCCACAGCAGCCACAGCAAGACCTGCCCAATGAGAGTCTGAGCTCAGACACACCTAGCCTGGTCCCCACCTAACTGTCCTTCCCTACCCACCCTGGTAAACTGAAGACAAAGGGCATATACTCTTGGGAGTTCTAGGGCCCCACCCACTGCCTGTTCCTCCCCTTATTACTACAGCTGATGCTCTTTTGAAAGTGCCACCTCCCAGCAGGAGGCCAACAATCATGGCTGAGAGACTGACAGATGGTTCACATCATAGGACTTTGTGGAGACAACCACCAGTACCAGCCTGGAGCCTGGTAGACTTGCTGGGTGGCTAGATCCAGAAGAGAGATAACAATCTCTATAGCTTGGCTTTCAGCAAGCCACATCCCTGGGAAAAGGGGGAGAGTACTGCATCAAGGGAACACCCTGTGGGACAAAAGAATCTGAACAACAGCCTTGAGTTCTAGACCTTCCCTCTGACAGAGCCTACCCAAATGAGAAGGAACCAGAAAACCAACTCTGGTAGTATGACAAAACAAGGTTCTTTCACAGCCCCCCCAAAATAACACTAGCTCACCAGCAATTAATCCAAACCAAGAAGAAATCCCTATTTACCTGAAAAAGAATTCAGGTTAGTTATTAAGCTAATGAGGGAGGCACCAGAGAAAGGGGAAGCCCAATTTAAGGAAGTCAAAAAATAATACAAGAAAGAAGGGGAGAAATTTTTAATGAAATAGATAGCATAAATAAAAAACAATCAAAATGTTAGGAAACAGTGGATGCACTTACAGAAATGCAAAATTCTCTTGAAAGTCTCAGCAATAGAATTGAATAAGCAGAAGGAAGAACTTCAAACCTCAAAGACAAGATTTTTGAATTAGCCCAATCCAACAAAGACAAAAAAAGAAAAGAAAATATGAACAAAGCCTCTAAGAAGTCTGGGATTATGTTAAATGACCAAAACTAGGAATAAGTGGCATTCTTGAGGAAGAAGAGAAATCTAAGTTTAGAAAACATATTTGGGGGAATAATCAAGAAAAACATCCCTGGCCTTGCTAGACACCTAGACATCCAAATACAAGAAGCTCAATGAACACCTGGGAAATTCATCACAAAAGGATCATTGCTTGGGCACATTGTAATCAGAATATCTAAAGTTAAGATGAAGGGAAGAATCTTAAGCGCTGTGAGGCAAAACAAACAAACAAACAAACAAACAAACCCGGGTAACCTATAAAGGAAAACCTACCAGATTAACAGCAGACTTCTCAGCAGAAACTCTACAAGCTAGAAGGAATTGAACCCTATTTTCGGCCTACTTAAACAAAACAATTATCAGCCAAAAATTCTGTATTCAGTGAAACTAAGTTTCATAAATGAGGGAAAGATACAATTGTTTTTAGAAAAACAAATGCTGAGAGAATTTACCACTACCAAGCTAGGACTACGATAACTTCTAAAAGGAGCTCTAAATCTTGAAACAAATCCTAGAAACACATCAAAACAGAACCTCTTTAAAACATAAATCTCACAGGACCTATAAAACAAAACAATTAACAAAACAAACAAACAAACAAAACCCAAGCATACAGGCAACAAATAGTACAATGAATGGAATCTCAATACTAGCATTGAATGTAAATAACTTAAATGCTCCACTTAAAAGATACAGAATTGCAAAATGGATAAGAATTCACCAACCATTTGCTGCCTTCAAGAGACTCACCTAACACATAAGAACTCACATAAACTTAAAGTAAAAGGGTGGAAAAAGACATTCCATGCAAATGGGTAACCAAAGTGAGCAGGAATAGCTATTCTTATATCAGACAAAACAAATTTTAAAGCAACAGCAGCTAAAAAAGACAAAGAGAGACATTATATAATGATAAAAGGCCTTGTCTAACAGGAAAATATCACAATCCTAAATATATATGCATTTAACACTGAAGCTGCCAAATTTATAAAACAATTACTAACAGACCTAAGAAATGAGATAGACAGCAACACAATAATAGTGGGGGACTTCAATGCTTCACTGACAGCACTAGACAGGTCATCAGACAGAAAGTCAACAAAGAAACAATGGATATAAACTATACCCTGGAACAAATGGACTTAACAGATATTTATAGAACATTCTACCCAACCACTGCAGAATATAAATTCTATTCATCAGTGCACGGAAATTTCTTCAAGATAGACCACATGATAGACCATAAAATGGACCTCAATAAATTTAAGAAAATTGAAATTATATCAAGCACTCTCTCAGACCACAGTGGAATGAAACTGGAAATTAACTTCAAAAGGAACCATCAAAACCATGCAAATACATGAAAATTAAATAACCTGCTCCTGAATGATCATTGGGTCAAAAATGAAATCAAGATGAAAATTAAAAAATTATTTGAACTGAATGACAGTAGTGTGACACAACCTATCAAAACCTCTGGGATACAGTAAAGGCAATTAGCTAAGAGGAAAGTTTATAGCTCTAAACACTTACATCAAAAAGACTGAAAGTGCACAAACTGACATTCTAAGATCACACTTCAAGGAACTAGAGAAACAAAAACAAACCAAACCCAAACCGAGCAGAAGAAAGAAAATAACCAAGATCAGGGCAGAACTAAATGAAATTGAAACAAAAAAATACAAAAGATAAATGAAACAAAAAGCTGGTTCTTTGAAAAGATAAGTAAAATTGATAGACCATTAGCAAGATTAATCAAGAAAAGAAGAGAGAAAATCCAAATAAGCTCAATTAGAAATGAAAGGAAAGATATTACAACTCACACCACAGAAATATAAAAGATCATTCAAGGTTACTATGAACACCTTTACTAGAAAACCTAGAGGAGACGGATAAATTCCTGAAAAAATAGGACCCTCTTAGCTTAAATAAAAAAGAGTTAGATACCCTCAACAGACCAATAACAAACAACAAGAATAAAATGGTAATTAAAAAATTACAAAAAAAAAAAAATCCAGGACCACACAGATCATTTAGCAGAATTCAAAGAAGAGTTGGTATCAATCCTATTGCCACTACTCTACAATATAGAGAAAGAAGGAATCCTCCCTAGGTCATTCTATGAAGCCAGTATCACCCTAATAACAAAACCAGCAAAGGACATAACCAAAAAAGAAAACTACAGACCAATATCTCTGCTGAACATAGGTGCAAAAATCATCAGCAAAATACTAACTGAATCCAACAA